AGAAAGCTGAGGCCAGAAGGGAGTGGAATATTTCTTGTTTCAAGGAGTGGTGATGGGGTAGGAGTACAGGGGCTTGAATCCAAGGACAGTTAACCACTAAGCCATATCCCCAACTCTTTTTATTTTGAGACAAAGTCTTGCTAAGTTGCTGAAGCTGGCTTTGAACTTGTGATCCTCCTGCCTCAGCCTCCTGAGTTGCTAGGGTCAGAACAACTCAGCAGAGAGTGAAATGTTTCCAAATGCAAAAAGAAGAGACCTATAAGCACAGAATTGTTTCTAGCTTGAATATTCATCAGGGTGCTGGGGATACAGCTCAGTTGGTAGACAGCTTGCCTTGCATGCACAAGGCCCTGAGTTCAATCCCCAGGCCCACAAAATATATATATGTTCATCAAGAATAATGATGAAACAACTTTTCTTATGAAAGAAAGCTAAGATAATTCAAACCCAACAAACCTGTTCTACAAGAATTACCAGTGGGAGGTTCTCAAAGAGAAAGGAAATGGTACTAGAGTGACTTAGAAAAACAACAACCATGGTAGATATCTGGGCAAACACAAGCCACTGTTCTCTCAAGTTCATTGGTGTTCACTTGATGACTGATGGCAAAACTTCACATTGTCTGACAGAGGTGTTAATATACACAGATGCAGCATGTAAAGCATCTTATAAGAAAGAAAGGAAAGGGCACTAAATGATGGCATTCTACAATCCCACTTGAGCATAAAATAAAATTTAAAACATTTAAATGTCAGAAAACACAAGTTCAAGCAATTTAGTGAGACACTTCTTATAGAGAATCAGATGTGACTGCGTTACTATTACTGTCCTTGATGGAGTCTACCTGAAAATGGGATATTCTGTCAAGGTATAGATAGGTTACAGCGGACATGCTTGAAAACGAGGTGTCTGCTGTCCTTGGGAGGACTTGCCTGCAAACGGGATGTTCTGCCAAGTGGGCTAGGAGGGCGCTAAGAAAAATTTTATTATCTGTTCTTAACAAGAGCAGAGCTTGGCAGGCTCCAGGACGAGAATAGATTAGCCATGAGAAGCGGGTCACTTCTGATTAGAAAGTAAAACTTCTGTATGCTATGTTTAATTAGCTGAAAGAATTGATTTATTGCTGTTGGAAGGCTGCCTTCTTTGTTCACAATACTATAAAAAGATTGCTTGTATATAATAAAGGGCTTTTTTTTTTTTGCTGCTGCTTTGCTTGCTCTGCTTCTTCTTTCTTTCCCATGCTGACCTGCGAGTGAATTACTGCAACAACTTCTGAAGATTCTTAAAAAATATTTTTTTAAAGGGCTAGGGGTACTGGTCAATGGTAAAGTGCCTGAGTTCAACTGCCAGTACCCTCTTCCCCCACAAAAAAACAGATATGACAAAACATAGCCTGCGGTGGGGTCAGGGTACAGATTTCTGTTAAAAATCTTGACCAGACAACTCTTATAATGAATAATAAAAAGACAACCCAATTAAAATAGAGGCAGAATATCTGAATATAATTCATCAAAAAGATACAGGAAGGGCTGGGGATGTGGCTCAAGTGGTAGCGCGCTTGCCTGGCATGCATGC